ACATTTTAAGGAAAGTCGATCAACAGGAGCCCCACTACCCAGACCTGATGATTGAATCACACAACAGTGCCATATCTCCACCACTTTGTCGCACTAGGAAGTCACGCATTAATGATTTATGACCAATCGATTAAATAATTCACTATATGAACTAAATAGTTTTAAACTATTCTAAATATTTGGTTCAACACTAAATTGATATTTTCAAATTCCCATTTACGCATTTAGAAAAAACAATAGATTGAGCGAAGAAATATATTCCTTCTCAATTAGTTCCTCATCATCGGCTGGCTCTACACTAATATATAGATTTTCACATCAAAATTTTTGTTACCAATCAAGTGGTTATTTTAGTTAGTCAATTTTAGGTATAGACGGGGGTGAAATCCAGAGGTTAAAGGTCATCAAAACAAATGACTAATAGATGTCTGAAGACAAAACACGTGGTTCAGCAAAGAGTGAGTCTCTTTTCGGCAGCAAATTCATTTTCTTAACTGTACAATCGCAAATATATATGTGTTATTTTGTATGTATGTGTACATTAAGTTTGTCAAACAAAATGCAATTGGTTATAGTTATTTTAACTAAACAGGTGAAGATTGGTAATTGGAGTTACGTAATACAAAATCAGTCAAGAAAATTAGGTGTTAGTGAAATTAGGGTAGTAACAAAGGTGATGAGTTGTCACACACAGTTGTTAAAAAGGAGTTACGTTACAATATGAATAGTTTGTTGATTGAGTTGTACTCAGGATACACATAGAAACAAGGTAGAGAATACGAAATTACGTAAGATTTCTAAATGAATACAAGAATTATAAGCATTTAAAGAACAGGCAAAGAAACAAAATTAAGTCATCAGAAATCACCAAAGTTGTTACTATGACACTTGAATTGGTTGAGTAATTCTCCTTTGTATACACAGCTCCAGTTTTTCTATCTGAATGGCCAGAGCTTCAGCGACACAAAGAAGACGAAACCATATTGCCTTTGGTAGGTTGTTCTTGACTCTGTAGATTACTTTGAAGGAGGCGTTTGTTGAGATGGAATGATCAGTGTTAACCAGGTGTTCAATTATCGCACTCCTTTGGCACCACAATTGCCTTTCGCTACGATGCTGGATAGTGTTTGGAACAAGATATCAAAGTTTTAAAAGGCCTTCAAAAAGACCTTTTATGCAGCGTAGCTATGCTGTGTATTCACCAGCCGACCAATACTTTGTTCAAGAAATAAAGACAGACTGTCCCGTTTTTACCAGTTTAATTACCCGCGCGGAGCTAGTTATGGAGGGCGTACGATCAGGCGATTTCATCATCAAATTTCTGAACACCTCCCATCTTGGTTTGGCTTACGTCAGATTAAAGCTGCTATGCGCAGCTCAATACTAGCTCATCTCGTCGATAATAGCTCCTAAAGTTATTTATCGTATATCACCCAACCTCTTGCGTGGTCTACGAGTACAACTTTTGCATCCAGCAGGGACACTTGGAATTCATCTGAAATTTGTACAGCCCCTTTCATTGCCATAACCAACTAAATAATATGTATTAGGTTTTTAAAAGCGACTTTTTCTCCTCCTCTTGTAACTACCTTTGGACTTTGTTAAATTTAACAATTTTTACAAGTCTAGCTAATTCTATTAACTTGTTTGTTTGTATTTTACGTAACTCTTCTGAGTCATCCTATTCTTCTTAGTCATCATTACTATTTTAAAAATTTCTCGATTATGTAATAATTTGTTGCCAATGCCTACGAATCAACATATCTTGAATTCCGTAATCAATCAGTTTTCACCCGTCTTTTAAAACTTAGATATATTGTTACTAACATCTATTAGTCATTTGTTTTGATGACCTTTAACCTCTGGACTTCACCCTCGCCTATACCTAAAACTGATTAAATAAAATAACAACTTGATTTGTGAAAAATTTTCATGTAAAAAACTATATATTAGTGTAGAGCCAGCCGATGATGAGGAACTAATTGAGAAGGAATGCCTATTTCTTCACCCCATCTGTTTTTTTTAATCTAAATTGATATTATTGAAAGAATTACTGGTTTTATTTCTTCAAAGTATGAACTGATTACTATTCTGCCTTGTATTCTTCTCTACTTTGAGGTTAAATGATTAACTGAAGTGTTTCCCCAAACTTTTCTTGAAATATACAGTATTAAAATCAGTCATTTATTTCTCCCCTCCTCATAATCTAATAATCCCGTAGAAATCACATATCAGGTCGATCAAATGACGTCTGTACTGCGCAGTAGTTCGCTTTATCTTCTTTTATAGACGTGAAACATAGTCACTGAAAGTGCAGCATATGAAAAGACTGGCTGCATTTGACTGAAATTGTTTGCGTTTTATCTCCTTTGCTCAGTAATATGATATGGTGATCAATATTGAGGTTAGGCGTAATATTAGGTGAACAGGATAGGTCGATCGGGGAAGTTGTGAGAGTGATGTCTAGGACACGTGTTACGCATACCAAGTCATCGCATTCCTCGACGGGCAATGTCAGCTGACATAGGATTTCGTTGGAAAAGATTTAAAGATGGTTAAGCCAAAACCTGGAATCACTCCATATAGTTTCTGAATGTTAGTTTAATCCCGCCACTCATAGATATCCGAACTGCCTGGTAAGGGTTCTTGAGATGAAGAGAATCAATGGCTGGACACTATTAATGATATGGCTCAAAGTCGTTCTTGCGAGCGCAGATCAATTCATTATCTGCGACCTTCCATTTCTATGGGTTTCCCGTGTTACTATACTTTCTTCCGTACATTTCTTCCCATTACAGTTCCTCCAGATCTCTCCTTTCCTCTATTATGGATAAAATTTATTTTCGATAAAGTCACACAGTGTTGTTATACAGTAATATTTACTGTGACCACGTTTCGAGCACAATTTATTGCTTCGTTTATATGCATGAGTGAAAACTGATTAGATATATGAATAAAAATCAATCAATCAATCAACCCTACGTAGGGTTCTTAATAAAGCAGGAATTAGGGTAGCATTTAAACCTACAAACTCACTCAGGATCAAGGTCCGTAAGCTAAAGGACCCGGTGAACCCAATTAAATAATATAATTTACAAAATACCTTGCAGTGGCTGTGAGTGAGGCCAGCTACATACGTCAAACTGGTATATCTGGAGTAGTGAGATTATCATCACATAAGAATTTAGCCAAGGTTAGAATGGTTGACCCCGCGAAGATAAGTAATTTTGAAAAAACTCAAAAATTTCACTGCATGCATTAACACACAACAGGGTGGGTGGGACAGAGTCGAAATTCTAAAAAGTCATATAGGTAGATGGAAAGAGAGAGAGATTGATTACTGAATCCTGATTCATCGAGGCTACACCCAGGATTTCTACCTATATCTGATTGGTTGAAAGTTGAGTGGTTACTGAAGTGAATCACAAAGCGAACGAGTGTATATCTATTACGAAGTAATATGTGAACTATTCTTAACATCCTTTGGAGCTCAATTAGGCAGCTGAACTCTTCCAACATGACTGAAGCCATCAGTCTAGGTCAGCATCGATTGCGGTAATATTTTGGTCTGATTGTCTCCAGCTCCTTTTCAAATGTATTTTATTGTAGCTAACGGTGCTTGCAGAGGAAAGCAATGGCTTCACTTGTGTATCACACATCCTAGCAACCTCAGTCGAAGAAAATTCACAGTTTCATTGGCTTTCCTACCATTCGTAATCAAAACTCTATAACTAATCGAATACTATTACTTCAGTCAATAGGAGAAACATATATATATATATAATGTACGCATACGAAGATTACCTCATGTCTAGAAAGCCTGTATTTACAGAGAAGTCTTACCTGTTAGTATGGTTTTCACTTATAATCTGAAGTAATAACTGACTGACTGGTTTCAAAGTAGAACTTTGCACTGATGTGCAGCAGTTCCAGTAGCCACACTCCATGTAGCGCAAAAAGCAAGAGGAGAGAGTAAATGGAGATTCAAAGGAGAGATAATTAACAGAGATATGAGACAAAAAGAAAAGTTCATGTATAATCCTCATCCAGGCTTTAATGAAAACAAAACACGTAGATCAGCGAAGAGTCTCTTTTCGGCGAATTCATTTTCTCAGCTGTACAATCGCAAATATACATGTGTTATTTCGTATGTATGTGTACATTAAGTTTGTCAAACAAAAATACATTTGGTTATAGTTATTTTAACTAAACAGGTGAAGATTGGTAATTGGAGTTACGTAACATAAAAATAGTCAAGAAAATTGGGTGTTGATGGAATTAGGGTAATAACAAAGGTGATTAGTTGTCACAAACAGTTGTTAAAAGGAGTTGCGTAATAATATGAATAGTTTGTTGATTGAGTTGTAGTCAGGATACACATAGAAACAAGGTAGAGAATACGAAATTACGTAAGAGTTCTAAATGAATACAAGAATTATAAGCAATTAAAGAACAGGCAAAGAAACAAAATTAAGTCATCAAAATCAAAAAAGTCAAATCAAATCAAAAAAGTTGTTACCAAGACAGTGGAAGTGGTTGAGTAATCCTCTTTTGTATGCATAGCTCCGGTTTTTCTATGTGAATGGCCAGAGCTTCAGCGATACAAAGAAGACAAAACCGTACAAGTACCATACAACAGAATCATTTAACTAAATTTCAGCTTCATGAAGCTCCTGAGAATCTAAAAGAATATTCCCAGCAAGCTGGAATCAAAACCCTGTCAATAAGAATCATACAACAAACAATTTGCGCAGACAACTGAAAACCAAACTGACCTTGACTCACTTAAACAAAATCACAACACCTTATCGATATCATCACAGTCATAAATGGACGCAGGAACAAAGATAGCTAATGAGGCTTTAGTCAATAGGTGATACGCAAACGTCAGAGGTGACCTTATCGTGTTCTTCAAAAACTAATGATTTTTTCTTCTATTTGTTACTCACTACTTTAATCTTTTTCTTTTGCTTTATTATTTTCATTTTGCCTTATTCTAGTGACAATCGATGGATGGACTTTCTTCAAAGGAGTTACTTACCTATTTCGCATAAATAATGATGAAGATGAATGGGTGTATGATGAAGAACCACATGTGGCTAGAAGAAAGGTAAGCTCTGAAGTTCAATGATTTTAGTGATGCTCAGCTCTCTGAGTTGTTCCTTTTCGTTCCAAGTGAACTTCAAGCTTGACCTTTAAAGTTTCAGTAGCGGTGGTACTTTTTTACGAGGGGAAGTTGCTAAGCTCAAGCTAAGCCTTTCCTTTTCACTAGGCTTAGTATCAGCTATCTGAGATAAATAGAGTGCGTTGGCCGGGGGTCGAACCTCGGATCACGTGAGATGTGGTTGGCGAGTAGTCGACTGCTGAACCGCCGACGCAAGGGATTTTTTTATTTCTTTACTTCAACAGTGAAGCATAGGGATTCAAGCTAGAGGCTTGAAGTTTCAGCAGCAGTGTTTATTTTTACGGGATGGGGTTGTTAGTCCCACCCCCAATTTCGCTTCTTTACCAGTCTTACTACTGGGTCAGAGAGGCAAAGGAGTGTATCGACCGGGGATCGAGCCCCGAAACGCCTGCATGGCTGGCGAGCATTCTACCACTGTGCCACCAACCGACATACTGACCATTCTAAAAGCTATCATTAACATTAACAGTTTCAGAAGGAAGTTGTTTGTGTAAATGTTTCTAGTGGTCTTTTAGTAGCCTGTTGTCTACTGTCTCAGAAGTCCATGGTCATGTCGCATTGTCTCTGCACTTAGTTTCATAAATTAGGCAGAGTAGGTCAGTGTCAGTATGTCTGATCGCTTTAATATTGAGTTTTTCATTTCGTCCAGTGTTCTCTGAGTAGTATCCACTCAAAATGTGACTACTTTTTTCATCGAATTTTCATCTTCCGTTAGAAACAGTCTACATAGTGCCTGCTGACTGTTAATTGAAGCTAAGAGAGATTAAGACGGAAAAAGTTGTTTATTTTTGTCTGTAATTTTTTGTATGGGTTAAATTCAACCTTTCTTCGTTCATTGCATTCTTTGTTCTGGATGGAGTAAAGAGATTTTTTGAGCTTATATATCATAAAGATTCTGAAAGATATCACTATGTTTATTTTGAAACAATTCCTAACGTGTTCTTCGATCACTGTGGAGCCACATTCTTATTAGTTATATATGTCCAAACCAAGTTCACTTTTAACGGTTTGAAAAAATTTGGGCATCGGGTATATGATATTCATTATAATAAAGGCTTTTGTATTTCCCAATGAATGAAAAACAAAACGATATTGTTTTTACTGACGTTTCGCTATTTAATGCTAATAGCTTTATCAAAGTATTATTAAACCGGAATTTACAAAATCTCAGTATATAAAATTGCCTGAATAGGGATGATGGACTAAAACAGAATCTGACCTGGTTACAACACCTCCCTCCCCCCCATCAAGTGACAAAACGAACACGAATGTGATAAGCACTTTCATTATGTAAACACACGCTGCTTTTATAATCTTATACACTTATCAAATCAAACAATCTACACATGATGGTTTTGTTATCTTTACCAATTCACCAACTTGACAACTAAAAATGCCCCCAAACAGACGAACGATGATCAAGTTAGTAAAATTTATTTCGATACCATAACAGACATACTATTACCTTTGTTATTTGGTTTAGTTATCTTCATCGCTATTTTTACTTTCAATATGTCCCTTTAACTTGACCTATGTCTATTTTCTCACCCACATTCTTATTAGTTTCTTGAAAAAGTTTTTGTATTGAAAACATGTGTGAAATCTGTTGGTATTTAAACTCACATTACAAAGTTTCATTCCCAGAAACAGTGATTCTAGTCGTAATATTGACAAACTGATTGAAGAGTGATTGGATATAAATTTATTGAGATAACAGGGGAACTTTCTTTCTTGACTTCAACGGGGTTAAAGGCTTTTGTTGTTTGATTGAACATTGTCGGCTTCGCTATTCCTTACTATGGTAAAATATTCATTGAAATATTGTCTCTCAATTAATAATAATTTGGAAAGAGTAAAATGTTTCATTACAGTTCGATTGTTTATGAACTGATTGAACTTATTAGATTTCTGGAGTGACGCCGATGTCTACAGAGTGGATTCTTTAACGATTTCGAATATTTATAGTAATAATAATGTCCTTCAATTCTCTTAGATAAAATACGCATCGAACGACCCATATATCTCGCTTCACATGAGCAAGTAAATGGGTAGATACACAAAGAAGTGGTCAGATGTGATAGTTTATCTTCGGAGTTTTTGAAGGACAATGGACAGCTTGAGAATACCAATCGTAGCGTAGCAGAAGAGAATGTTCTTTTGAGGACGTTAGACATCCTTCTCTTTAGGACGTCAGCCAGAAGGTCACCTTTGAATGCCACATTCATGTACAGCATCTTCTTCGGCAGAGAGATGGATTCTTCTTCGTTGATTTTCGGCTTTATGTGTTTATCTATAAAGCGTGGTGGATAGCCATTCTCAAGTAGTGTCTTCCTCAAAAGAGTGATCTCTTCTTCTACTGATTTGAGGCTACATATTCGGCAGATTCTAGTCGCAAAAGATATTATCAGGTTCCGCTTGCGACTGGTGGGTTCTCAACTATAAGAGTTTGTCGGCTGGCCGTTCCAAGTAGGTTTTTACCGACATATTGCTGTCTTTAGAGTCCCACCAGTTTTCTCTGTTAGTCGGACGTCCAGGAATGAGACTGTCTCCCCGGTTTCTGCTTCAGTTGTAAATTTGATGGCTGGGTGGCAGCCAGAGAGAAGTTGTCAATTGTCTGTTTCAACGGACCACTTTACTCATTCAAATAGTAGAAGCCATCAGGACATTAGGGAAAGAAAAGAAGTGGCTCAGGAGAATTTAATTTACTCTCTAGTAAGCATGTGTGTTGGTGGTCCAGCGGTAATATGCACAAAGACTACACATATGGTCTGGAGTTCGATTCCTTATCCACGTACCCTTAATCCTCGCCTAGTCAGTAGTAAGTCTGAATAATAGGGATAGTTGGGCGTGAAGCTAATAATCTCACCCCATAAAAGACAATAATCACCGCTTCTGAACCTTACTGCAGCTTCTTTTAAATACATAGGTCAGGTTGTGATCGTTTGTTAGCTATGGCTTCTGAGAGCTTCAAAAGACCTGGGATTGATTATTTGTTTGTTATTTTGAAAGAATTCAAGGTGTCTGCCTGAGGTCCTGCATTACCGTTGAGTGATTTACTTATTTTTGATTTCAGACAAATCATTATTAATGTCAGTAAAAAGTTTGAGCATCGTGGAATAGATCAAATAAAGTACAATTATATTTCAATGATTTACACACAATGATAAGTTTTGTTATTGGTAATATTTCGAGCAAAATTACTGCCGGTGTTTATATCACTGTTGGAATTATGATATGATTAGGGGAAACAGCTTTTGCTCGAAACGTCGTTATCAGTAAATATTACTGTACAACACTGTGTGAATTATCACAATAAAATCTTATCTATAATGGAGTTATACTTTACCACAGTGCCCAAGTTGTATACTTATATTTTGTTTGATTGGTTGGAGGATTTCATCATGAGCTGACATCAGTTAGAGAACCATTGGAAAACCGGCTCGGAGTGTTGGACAACCATTTCGTCAACCTAGCTTGGGACTCTTCACCAGTACGCACTCACGGGGGTTCGAAACCAGTAACTTCTGGTTACAAGGCTAGCGAACTGGTAGACCATTAAGCCACTAGGACGAAGCAGCTGTCCAGTACTCCCAGGTTTTCCAGTGGTTCTCTAAACGATGTCAGCTCATGATGGAATCTTCCAACCCACCAGACAAAAATCTTTACAAAACCAATACTTGAAAATTGATCTGATGCTCACTAGCGACTGGCCTTATTCAGGCAGTTACCTGGGGTACTGGTGAGAAGCTGTGACCACCAGGGTATAGCAGGTTGAAGGTGATGCAGTTACTCATCGAGGAAGACATTGCAAAGTGGTCGCGCTATGTCATGAACTGCAAGAAGTTGGAATTCATGAGCTGGCCATCGCATCGGGTCCCAATGGCTGCTGAATGGTCTAAGAGCTCGCTAGCCTTGTAACCAGAAGGTACTGGGTTCAAGCCCCCATGTGTGCGTACTGCTGACGAGTCCCAAGTTAGGCTGATGAAACGGCTGTCCACCACTCCGAGCTGGTTTTCCAATGGTTCTCTAACTGATATCAGTTCATGATGAAATCCTCCAACAAGTCAATATTTGTACAGAAAATCTATGATATACACTTCCAGTATGTCTGCTTTGGCAGCTACACGTAAATCGACAGACACCGATGGAGCTAACAAAGGAAGGATATTTGTCAACTTTTGGCTGAACTCACTGACATTCTTTTTGGTAAGCAGGAAACAATCTGTCCTCATGGAATATCATAGATCGTGGTTTTTTAAAATTGTCTGTTGATTAGCCCTGCAGTGTTGTCACTTGGATGGATACAGGTTTTTCGTCCAATGTGATATTTCTCTTATCCCTTGATCTTCACCCTTCTCAACCCTGTCAAAAATCTTTGGTGATATCCCCGTATCTCGTAGAAACATTTCTATGACCTGCTCCTATGAGTCATTAGATAACACTAGTGCATGACGATGGGATTCTGTGGTTCACCAGTAGAATACTCGCCAACTGTGCAAGTAGTCTAGATATTGATTGAGGGACGCCTATGCACTCTTAAAGCTCTCCTAGTTTGTTAGCCAATGGTAAGACTGGAAAAATGGAACGTTGGGAGTTAGGCCACCAAACACACCTCGTAAATTGTGTTCGAAACGTCATCCGGTTACTAGTAGTGTAAAAGTGTGTGTTATTCTAGCGCAGTGCTCAAGTTCTACACCTACAATACCACCGTTACTGGAAATTCAAAGCTTGAAGCCAATTGTTCCACGTGGAACTCGAGGAATAATGAAGAAGAAGAGGTTTACTACACTGTGTCTTTGTATGAATTAGCTCTGCGAGTGTATTTTGCTTTTTCTCTCATTCTCATATCAATATTAATTATTTCCTTTTCCTCTTAATATATACATATAGGAAATATTAGCCAAATATCCAGAAATTAAAGCATTAATGGGACCAGATATTAAACTTGCCTATATGAGTTCAGCAGAAGTTCTTATACAACTGATAATGACTGTTCTAATATCATATTATCAACCATCATGGTTCACATGGTTAATATTAACTTATGCAATCAGTGGAACAATTAATCATTCACTTGGTTGTGCTATACACGAAGTTGGGCATAATTTAGTCTTTGGACATAAGTACAGTAAAGCGAATCGTGTATATTCAATATTTATTAATTTACCAATGGGCTTACCAATTGCTATATCATATAAAAAATATCATCAAGCACATCATAGGTAAGTTAATTTACTGATTATGTAATTTTTAAAAGACTGATTAGTGATGAACGAAGAATATTCTTTTCGATAACTTCTTCTTCGTCAGGTTCTTCAGTTATGTGACCGGAAAAATTAAAGAATTATTCTCAAGCTTGGTTTGTAGGGATCGGCTTAAGGACCCAATATAGCCAATAAAGAGAAATAAGATAATTGACTATATAACATGTAACACTGATTGTGAGGGCAGTTACATAGGTCAAACTAGTAGATCGGGGTCAACAAGATTATTGGAACAGAAAAATTTAGCCAGACCTAGAGTAATTGACCCTGCTAAGTTAAATAACCTAGAAGAAAGCTCAGCCATTGCAGTGAATTCATTCGCATGTATTCACAAAATAGGGTAGCGTGGGATAGGGTGAGAGTATTAAGAGGTAATATAGTTAGGTGGAGAGAAAGAGAAGTTAATCACTGACTGAAGCTTTGTTTATCGATTCAACACTGCACACGTGCAATCAGAATGACGCGCCGCCTATATTAGAGATATGGAAAGTGGCAACAAACAACAAAGGGAAGTTGGAGGGAGAGACAAAAAGAGAAAAAAATATACAAGACAAATTGTGAAACTGTGTGACTAAATTGATGTGATTATGAGTGACAATAATTCATGCTCGAAACCTTGTCATCCAGTTGTTAATACTATATCTGCATCACTGTGTGATTATTGAAATAAACTTATCTAATATGGAATTAAATTCTATCACCACGGTGCCCAAGTTCTTTACTTACACTAACGAACTGACGTCTGTTATACCTTTATAACCATGGAAGATAAAAGTGAGCAGAGGCTAAAGGAAATATGAAAATCCCTACAAAACCAATATTTGAAAATTAATCTGATGCTCACTAGTGACTGGCCCTATTCAGGCAGTGACCTGGAGTTCTAGTGTGAAGTCGTGACCAGTAAGGTAGAACAGGTTGAAGATGAGGTAATAACTCATCGAAGAAGACATTGCGAAATGGTCGCGCTATGTCATGAATTGGTAGAAGTTGAAATTCATGAACTGACCATTGAATCGGGTCCCAGTGGCTGCTGAATGGTCCACGAGTTCGCTAGCCTTGGAACAAGAAGGTCCTAAGTTCGAACCCCTGTGTTGGGTGCCTACCGCCGAAGACTCTCAAACTAGTCTGACGAAACAGCTCGCTGTCCAGTACTCCCAGGTTTTCCAATCGTCCTCTAACCGATGTCAGCTCATGATGAAATTCCCTAACCAATCAATCGAAATCCCTACAAAACGAGCACTTGAAATATGAAAAGAGATATAAAATTGTTGATGACAAGTATCAACCTTGAGAAGACAAACAGTGGCTAATGGACTATTGATTAATGACCTCATATACAAATGTTTTGAGTACCCATGTTCTGATTGCTGTGTGGGTGGAATAAAGGGAATTGATGATTGTCGAATATAGGTAATATGTTTTAAAATTAGTAATAATTATGTAAGTGTATTCATTGATGCTGTTTTCATTATCATCATTGTAGGAGCTTATGGATAGTTTTCATTTGAACTGATGGCAACCAGTAGGGTTTGTCACGGATGCTCAGTGTCCCCATGTTTGTTTATCCTATCATAGATATACTAGTAGAATTGACCATAACTGACTTTAGTGACTTAGAGCTTGACTTATCTGTTACCACAGAATAGTCCTGTCGACTTAGGGTATAAGAATGATACTGTCCTCCCGGCTGAAGACGCTGACAAAATGCAGAGCCTTCTGAACATCTCGAGCAGAAATCTTCTCATGTTTTTAGTATGTGATTCTTTCTTGTCACATGTAAGGTGAGGCTGAAGGACTGGTCTACATTGACTCCCAGCCTTAAGATAGGGAATGAAGTGATACAGCGTGTTTACCAATTCATTTATTTGGGCAATTGCATCAACCCTAATGGATAGATATAAAAGGCTCTTGTGGCATTTATCAACCTGTGCCATCTCTGGCGTAGGATTGATGTGCGCTTATACATCAAAAGACACGTGTACTGCGCTGCAGATCTCTCTGTTCTCCTTTATGGATGTCAGATATGATCATTGAAAGTCGTGGATGTGAAAAGACACGTCTGCTTATAATAATTGATCTAAATCTCTTTCTCTAGTTTTTCAATATTGTGTACCACACGGAGCTTGGCAACTTGAACTGGTGCGCCTCTATGCGAAGCTCTATAGCAAAAGAGTTATGCAATAGAGACAAGAGGTGAAAAAATGATGAGTAACTAATATATTGAGTAACAATATAGTGAATTCAACTCAAATCATGAAAGCAAGTGACAAGCAAATTCCCGTTACAGAGAAAAGGGGTGGGTGATTCCAAAGATCACATATTCAAATGATAGAGAGAGGTAAGGATGTCCAGTCATCAGGGCAAGGAGAGACTGATAACTGAATCTTTCTGAACATATAAATTGTTTGATAGCAACTACTTCGGTAAATGTGAAAAGAATTGAACTATTTTGTCCATTGGTGTCTACCTCATGACCAATATCGATCAGATGTCTGGCGATAAAGCTGTTGTAAGCACTTGAAACTCAGTCTTTTTGGTATATTTCTAGAAAATATATGTACCCTTCTTTCTGTTCCTCCAATGTGACTGCTACCACAGATGCATGTAAATTTGTATACACAGTTAGATTCAACATGAGAAGGGTGTCTGATCGACGGGAATCAGCTTAGCTGTGGGATATACCCTAGCCAGTGAGGAATTCAATCTTCTGTTGACTATTTGTGCAATATTGTCATCTTTGAAATCAGGTTGTTTGAAAATAGACTTGTTTTCCACTGTGATTTGTTGGGTATTTAAACCTTCACATCTTTCGTAATTGGTAATGAATTTCTGAGGATAATTGTTATTTTTCAATATCTTTTCGAGAATCACAAATCATGAGTAGGGCATATTCTAAAAGTTCTGATCATGGATGGATGGCCAGTTAGAGAACTATTGTCCTTGTTTTATGGGTTTATAATTCAATAAAGATTTTGGTGCACTTTATACACACAAAAAATATCACTGAATACTGGGTTTTCTTACTCTTAATACTGTTTAACTGTGTTAAATAGATAAATAAATGTATTGTTTCAAGTAATACCATGGCTCGATATCAGTTAAGGAACCATTGAAAACTAGTAGGTTTTACTGGACAGTTGTTTTCGTCCTAGTCTAAAACTCTTCAACTGCAGGTACCGCTGATTCCACCAACCATTCAATCCTAGACCTTCTTGTTACGAGACGAGCTCGTTGACCATTCAGCTACTGCGATGGGGTCTGTTAACTCGCGATTTATAGTGCCACCGTTATGCAATGTTATCGGTGAACTTTCCTCTTCAAACCTGACCAGGTTCGCTCCACTGCTGAAGAGTTTCAAATTAGAACGGAACAGCAATCGAGTACTCCGCGGTTTTCAACTATGCTTCTCTAAATGACATAGATTCGTGGACTGTCTTGAAAACAAACAAATCTCTGCAGGCCAATACTTGAAAATACAGTATTAATCACCAGATTATTAGACCCTGTAGCCATCGACCTGATGATAATAAAAGTCACTTCAAGATCTGACTGCCCTACACTCTCAATGTGATTGTTACTAATCTTTCTTTAAACAAATCTATTTTATGATGTAATCATATTTCATGAAAAATTCACATCCGAACGTTAATAGACAGAAGACAAGTAGTTCAGCGAAGAATCTCTTTTCGGCGAATTCATTTTCATAGCTGTACAATAGCAAATATATATGGTTGTTTTGTATGTGTGTGTACATTAAATTTGTCAAACGAAAATACAATTATTAAGTTCAGATGAATTGGATACTGATATAAGAGGGTAGTAACAAAAGTGATGAGTTGTCACAATCGACTGTTAAAGGAGAGTTACGTAATAAGATGAATAGATTGATGAAAGAGTTGTACTCAGGGTGTACATGGAAACAAAATATACGGAATTACACAAGGGTTTTAAGTGGAAAAATAAGCATACAAACAAAAGTTGTCAAATCAACAGAGTTGTTACCATGAGAGTAGAAGCGGTTGAATAATTTTCTTTTGTATGCACAGTTCTGGTTCCTCCAAATGAATGGCTAGGTCTTCTGCGATGCAAGGAAGACGGGATCGTACTGCCTTTGAAAGGTTGTTCTTCACTTCTTTTTTTCACTCTGAACTTACTAATTGTATTTTTTTAACAATAATAATATTTTGCTTTATTACAGAAACAGTACTAGTGGTACAGTGTGGAACTTTCAGCACATATCTACAATATTTGCATCTAATTTAATCAAACATTTAAAAGGAGTATTTCAAAAAAATAAATATAAAGACACCAATAGCAAAAGAAAAACAACTACAAAAAACACAAAATAATTTTAAAAATGCGAAAAAGTACCAAGAAGTACAAAGGAAATAAACATCATATAATAATAACTCAGTATTGGGTAGTAGAAGCTATGATATGATTATGCATGGTGACAGTAAAGCTATAGTCATACAAGAAGTTATGAAATGATATTTAAGGAAGTTTATCGCCAAGAAGATCAGTTAATTTGGTTGAAACAACACTAAACAAACAAAATAACATTTCAGGGTTGTTGTTTTGTTTTTCATTGTCAGGACTAATGCAGTGTTTGTAGTGATAGTGTGAGTAGTGCTGCATAATACAAAAGTTTAAGGTGGTGATAATGGCGTTCACAACCGATGATTGTCAGTTAATATTGCCGAACAAAAAAAACAACAACAACAACCACAAAAGCTAATAATTACATGATGGTTAATGACGGACAATTTTGTAATACTCATAGTCCAAATATATTCGGAACCAGTAGATACACAAAAGAACGAATAGAGTAAAGTACAAAAAAATGTAATGTACACACACATACAAAACAACTATATATATTTGCGATTGTACAGCTATGAAAATGAATTCTCCGAAAAAAGATTCTTCGCTGAACTACTTGTAATCATATTCGACATGTTCTTCCCTCATCTGACATTTTGTTTGTTTGTTTCTTCTTTTTTCCTAGATGGTTAGGTCATGAAGACGGGGATGCAGATATGCCATTACGTCTTGAAGCCAGACTATTTACCCATCCAATTAGTCGACTTATATGGATTATTATACATCCAGCATTTTATGCATTTCGTCCATTTATCAAACATCCATTACCGTTGACAGTATGGGAGATTATAAACTTTTTTGTACAAATTACATTCAATATAATTGTATGGTATTATTTAGGTATATGGTCATTAGGCTATTTAATTATTGGTACACTACTTGGATTAGGATTGCATCCACTGTCTGGACATTTTATTAGTGAACACTATCTATTTGCTGATAATCAAGCAACGCATTCATACTATGGAAGTGGTAATTATTTAATGTATAACTTGGGATATCATGTTGAACATCATGATTTTCCGTATATTGCGTATACACGTTTACCGAAGTTGAAAGAGATCGCCGCGGAGTACTATGATCATTTACCGTATCATACATCGTTGTGTAAAGTAAGTCCTCCTCTTGTCTATCTCTCTATATATATACATACTTTATTCGACTTTTGTTTAATGTATTGATTTATTGTTCATTTCTTTGACGTCCAATTTGAATGTAGGCCTTCAAACTTCAGCTAACGACGGTTGTTAAGGAAAGCAGTGACTTGGGATGGGCAACACGCGTCCTAGTCATCTTGATCGATTCATTTCCACAACTTCACTGACTGACTTGCCCTGTTTGTCTGATTTCAGTCACAGAACCACTTAAGACCAAGGAGTACTGAACAGCTGTTTCGTCCTAGTGTAAGGCTCTTCAATGGTATATATCCATGACCCCATTGTGAATCGAATCAAGGACTTTCAGGTTGCGAGGTGACCGCCTTCACTGTTGAGCTCCTGGAACGGGATCCGATGGCCAGCCCATGAGTTCTAACTTCGATAAATTCGCGGTTTATTGTGGCACCTCTAGGCAGTGTTATCAGTAAGTATTTTTCCTTAAATCCGATCTGGATGATACACTCATTTGCTTTGTGATTCACTTCTATAACCATTCAACTTTCAACCAGTCACATAAAGATTCATATCCTAACCACCCCCGCTGTCCCTACTCACGAAAGCGAGAGCACATTTTGATTGAACTTTTTATGCGATAGATGGTAGGTGTCGCCCATGGACTAGTTGACTAGTCTGCATTATTGCCCCTGTAATGAGGAAATTAGATGCACTATTGTATTACATGCTGAAAATTCCATATTTGTGCCAAAAGTACTGTTTGGAATGAAGCTGTTATTATTATTATTAGTAATCACTAGGATTTTATTAACCATCAAAATGTATAATCAAAAATCACATAAATTGAAGTATTCTCCTTTGAAGGTCACTTTTCGGTATACATTTGTACCAATAGAAAAATGTAAGCAGTCACCATATATTTGTAATCGAATCGAATAGCAAACTCGGTTTTCTGGATATTTCAATCACCAAGAGAGACGATGGAACGATTCAGCGATCTACTTTTCGTAAACAGACATGGAGTGGACAATATCTTCATTTCATCAGTTTTGCCTCTATTCAGTATAAATGTTCCCTAGCGAAATGTTTGTTCTCAAGGGCCCGCAAAATATGCACGGGCGACACATTGATGGATGAGCGTCGACACATAAGTTCAGTTTTATTAGCTAATGGTTATCCATAAATTTTTAACAACTGTCACAGTAAGGATATATCACATATTGAAAAGACAAACTCTGTACCAAAGAGGGCTATCTTTATTGGCTTCTCATTCAAGGGTGACCAGATTATGCAGTTAATTCTTCTTCCTATGGTTTGAGAGTGCACCTGCTATGGTTAGCGCATTAACATAGAGCTTTGCACAGAAGTGCCCCAATTCAAGTTGTTGCAATCCATATAATACATAAAGGTAGAAAAAAAGAAATTCTAAAGACACTTCTGACACCTGTCTCACGCATTTCAATCGATTCGCCTTCACAAAGTCATCAGATGACTTATCATCCTCACGTAACAGCCCAAAGCTAACCTTAATATCGGCCATTATATTTTACAACTCAATGCTTGATATAAAGCATAAACATCTGCGGCCTAGGACAACTAGGCTTTTTAATATCTTCCACTTTCACTGACATTGTCACGTAGACATCAAGGAGGGTAGAGAGAAAGAGCTGCTATTCAGTACATATGTTCTTTGATAAATGTGGTCGACAGAGTAAGTGATTAATGTCTTGTAAAAAAATTCTACAGACGTGTTAGATTATGAGCAGAAGAGAAATCAAAAACTGATTTTAATTACTGGTGTTTGTTTTCCAAGAAAGGATTACAAAAAAACACTTCACTTAATCATTTAACCTTAAAGTGAAGTGAATACAAAGGTGAAGGACAGTAATCAATTCACACTTTGAGGAAATGAATCAGTAATTCCATTAGCAATATATCAATTTAATATTTAACCAACAATTTAGAATAGTGTAAAGCGAATTAGTTAGTATAGGGAATTATTCGATCGATAGGTCAGAAAACATTAATCCATGATTTCCGACTTCAGTGAATTTATAATAAAATGCCTTTGTGTCACTCAAGAATGAAGTGTAGGTTGAGGGCCTACTGTTGATCAACTTCCAATGACATCTGATTATTACTCCCTTGTTTGTCTATTGTGACACAGGGCTTCATCAGCAAGTGTTCATTTTATTGTGTCCTCTGCAATTCTCTTAAGGTGTCTCCACGATTGTCCATAAGCTCCCAAGTCTCCACGCAAACTCCTGCATGTCATCCTAAGATACCTGACTTTTCGTTTCCCACTTGAGTTCCACTCTAGGACGTGGAGCGTGATGTCACTCAATGGTCTCCTCAAACTGTATCCAATAAACCTCCATTTTCTTGGGCATACTGGTTGGACAATAAATTCTGATTAGTACGTTCCCAGGGTTGCTTGTTGCTAATCCTTTCTTCACATCTGTTCTTCAGTATCAAGGGGAAACAGCCATTGCCTAAAGTTTGCAGTGTCCTATTGGAAAATGTTTTCTTGAAGCGCAAGGCAAGTCTCTGAGTAGCACAGAATCACGAATTTGATATTTTTCAAGAGTTGGTTTGTAAGGATTAGATTTGTTTTTATGAGTTTGACCACCGATTGATATCAGTTAGACAACCATTGAACAGCAGCGAGTACTGAACAGCCGTTTCGTCCTGTTTCGTGGCCCATCGGCAATAAACAGCCACTGTCGTTCGAACCCAGCACCTTCTGGTTACAAGGCCAGAGAATTCGTATACCATTCAGCCACTGGGACCCGATTCAATGGCCAACCCATGAATTCTAACTTCTACCAATCCGTGATTTAGCGCCACATGCAACCAAGTCATCGGTGGGACATCCTTCCTCACACTTGACTGGGTGGACCTCACTGGTCACGACTTCTCACTAGAACTAACTCCAGGAAACTCCGTCCTGTAGCAAGTCACTAGCGAGCATCAGATTAATTTTCTATAGTCGGTTTGTAAGGATTAGATTTATTACTTTATTATTTGATATTAGTGGTAGATTTTCACACTGATTTCAGAATAATGACGGTTTACCTTGTGCTTCCAATCTTTGCCTGGATGTCCTCATCCCTAAAGTTGGTGGTTGAAACGGTGCTGCTTAGATAATTGAAAGTGGTGACCTACTTCAAATTTCTCCGTCTGTTAATGATTCATATTTGCTGATTTTGTTTTTGGTTGAGTAACTTCATCATCTCTGTCTTTTCTATGTCCGCGTGAAGTTCTGTGTTCGCTGCCTGTCTTTTCTGCTGACAGCTTGTTGGTTTTCACCTGAAGATCTTCGAGTTTGTGTGATATGAGACATAATTCACGTGCGAAATCCAGATCTTATAGAGTTTTCTCGTTAGCCTAACGTATTGCTGTTTCCTAGCTCCTCACGATTTGTTGCATAGCCAAGTCTGCCACAGTTTGGAATATCAATGGTGATAGTCGACATCCTTACCTTACTCCTGTCCTCACTTCAAAGACTTCGGTGATATCAATTCGCGATGAAACTTGAAATAAATCAAAACCCTGCAAACTAACCCTTGAAATATTTACGAAACAATGTGATTATATGGGCACCACAGACGAAATCCACGGTTAAGATCCACCAACTTCAACCTTGTAATCCGAAGATCCTGTATTTGACACCTGGGAGGATTTGGGTTATCACACCGGTGATCAATCTCAAACTAGAAGGAAACAGGTGACTAAAACCCCTTTGTTTTCAATAATTCCCCATCTTTAAGACATTCCTTAAATACGTACTACTAACTTGGAGGATTTGGACTTCGCCGATAATACATTTCTGATTTCCCACAAACTGGAAGACATGCAAGCGAAAAGCAACAAGTTGGCAGAAGAAGCATCAAAGATAGGACTTCAGGCGAACATAGAGAAAACAGAGATGATGAAGATTCCTGGCCAACACCACCAACAGCAACAACAACAACAGAAAACAATCAGCATAAATGGAAGGAACCTGAAAGAAACAACCTCCTTTACCTACCAACCTAGGAAGCATCGTTTCAACCACAGGCGCGGGGAACTGACGAGGATATCATATCAAGAATCGGAAAAGCAAGACAAGCTTTCACTACTCTCAAGTCTGTGTGGAGGTCAACAGCACTCAGCATCAAAAATAAGATCCGGATTTTCAACTCCAATGTGAAGTCAGTGCTACTATACGGATCAGAGTCTTGCACTGCACGTCATAAAGAGCATCTCAAACAAACTACAAACCTTCATTAACAGTTGTCTTCGCTCAATACTACTCAAGATCAGATGGCCGGCCAGAAAATATCAGCAATAGGGACATGTGGGAGCAAACCAACTAGGAACCGATTGTGCAACACATAGGAGGAAGAAATGGAGATGGATTGGCCATACTCTTAGGAAACCATCAAGTGACATCACTAGACAAGCCATTGCTCGAGTGGAACCCGAAAGGGAAGCGGCGAGTTGGTCGTCAGTGCAAGGGTGACTTGGAGGAGGTCATGTGAAGAGGAGATGAAAGCATGCGGGCAGACTTGGAGCCAGGTTAAGACTCTAGCAGAGAACCGAAGGCAATGGAGACGTTTGGCTGAAGCCCTATGTTCCTGTAGGAATTAAAGGAAATAACAATAACTTGGAACCTATCCATGTCAAATACTAGTGCCTCCTAACCAACTCGAAGCGATGTAAACACTGGTTGACTGTTCCACTTCTTTGTATTCGAGCTCATCGACAGTGTACGTCAAAAGACCCATCTTGTATAAACCAGCCTGATTCTCACTAGCCGGTGGAACAAAATGGTAATATACATAGAATCCCATTCTGGAGGTCTCTTAGTGTCTGAGGAAACAATTATCAAGTCATACTTAGTGCTTCCTTTGTGAAAGGTTCCCCTTTTTTATAATAACACGTATGGCTAAGGTCAATGACAAACAAACCTGTTAGTTTCATTTTCTTAAATAACTGTCAAAAAATTAATGCTTTTT